GAATCTCGAAAGTGAAAGTAAAATGAGAGTGCGCAATCGAAAGCGGTTTCAATAGCGACTCCCTGATGCCCGCAATTTATATACAGTCGCCTATACTTACCCAACGATATAATTGCGAGAAAAAGTATTGAAATATTTTTTTTTATCCTCCCATCTCGTATGCTATTTATTCCCTTTAGGGTTTCCGTAGTACACTTCATTTCCTTTCCGAACACGGAACTAGGATGCGATGGATTGCGGGAGAAGGGGTGGGGGGGGAGGAATCACAATGTCAGCTTAACATCGTGATGGCTGTCAGCCATCGGCGATGGCATCGTCTATCAGCCCAACCCTAGTGTGTAACAGCATCTGATGCTTATCGATAGCTGAAAGCGTAACCAAAAATATTAAAATAGCTAAAATATTCAATAAACAAACGTGTCGGGGATGCATAGAACTTTGTCACTTATGGGTGCAGTTCAGTTGAGAACCTTGCTGTGTCCTGTGGAGATTTTTGGGCACAGATTTCATGTGAGCCTAGCTATGAGTCAAAGTATACTTTGTTACATAATATTTTGTTATACAGTCAACAAGATTTCCAGGCTACAAAACATCACTCAGCAGTTTTGCCGTGGTCCACCCTTGTTTCTTAAAAACAGTAGATTCATTGTTTACATTTGAGAGCTGCCCACTGATGTCATGAGGTGTTACTATCTGTTTCTGTTTAGTTCTTTGAAGTTTATTTTTCTAAGTGCCTCTCTATTTTAGGCAATGATATCTTGGAGTCATAAACGCTGTCTATTCTTGGCAACAGAAAAGCCATGGGAGAGAGAGTTTTCCTCCCATCAAGTACTAGAGACTCTACGGAGTCTGTTAGAAGAAAAAAAAAACAGATCGAAAGAGATTAAATTAGTATGTCAAAGCTCACAACCCCATTACCTCCCTTTAGAGTTAAACTCATAATTTTGTATACAAAAGGGAATGACCAAGGCAAATTAAAATCTCTGGGGTGCAAATGCATTTTAGAAACTTTACTTTCCTCTGTTGTTTGGTACAACAGTTTTTGTTCACTGCACTGACACAATTTTAACTTTACAATTGTTTGGAGTGCTCACTGTCTGCTTGTTAGCCTAGTTTAGCCTCGTTAAATATATTCTTCCTTCTGCTGTTTCCCTCCCTGTAAAGGAACAAAAGAAGAAATGGGTGCTGGCAGGAATTTCTTCTCACTCGT